CTTTTCGCCCTCCCCAGGCTCCAGAGGCTTTATAGGAGCTTGGGGAGGGCGAAAAGAGCCTCTCCTGCCCCCCCTCCCCCTGGAGGCCCTCCGGAGGCTTCAGGAGCTTCCCTAAAGCCTCCGGAGCACAAAAAAATGGCCCTATGGGCAAACCGGAACTTCGGGAACGGACTTCAGGTTTGCTTGTAGGGTCGGTTTAAGCCCCCCGCGAGGCTTCAGGGATGCCTCCTGAAGGTCCCTGAGGCCTCCGGAGGGCCTCCTGGGGGGGGGGGGCTGTTTTTGCCCTCCCCAGGCTTCTATAAAGCCTCTGGAGCCTGGGGAGGGCGAAAAAAGCCTGCAAAAAAAATGGGGGGGAGTGCCTCTCATGTGCGCATGCACACTGGGGGGTTGCGTGTTGCATTATGGGTGCGGCAGGCCTGCGCACAAGACCCCTGCGCTCCCATCACTTATGGCACGCGAGACCGACGGTTGTCCAATCTTGTCTTAAAAACTTCCAGTGTTGGAGAATTCACAACTTCTGGAGGCAGATTGTTCCACGGATAGCATTTCTAGCTATCAGTGCAAACTCTTTATGTAGCTTTGCTCTCAGGTCACCTTGGGAGGAGTCACGGAGCGTCTGCCATAGCAGCTCCCCATCGCGCAGGATCTGCTCCTGAGTGCGCAAAGTGGCATTTTGGATCCGAGCAGTCTCTTCTGCAAGCTGGTTGGTAGATTCCAACTGATGGGCCACCGTTTCCGAAGAGGAGATCAGCCTGGTAGACACAGATAAACAAGGAAGTTAATCACTGTGGTCCAGGGGGAGCCATCTACCATATTCTAAAAAGTGTTCCTGCCCAAAAGGGTTCTCATTGACTTGCCTACCCAGAAGTCTATTTTGGCAATTTGGTGGCAACATGGCACTGGCATGAGATCAGCAAAGGCCCGACTGTGGAAACATTGCAGCCTGCACTAACCACATTCGATGCTTTCACAATCACAGAGATAAGCTTCACTCCGGTGACTATCGGGAGTCCAGCCTAATAGGGGTCAAGCCAGCTCCCTTTCCTCCTGTAATGAAGCTCAACTGCACCGACAACCATTACTGAATCCCATTACTATCTTTCCTCCAGCAGGGTCTTTGTGTTCTTTCTTGCTTCCAAATTATGTTCTTGAAAACCGACAAAGGCTCATGTGGAAGAGGGGGAGCGTTTATCCATTACTCAAATCTGAATCTATGCAATGCTAAGCAAAAGGGAAAATATTGAAAATTGGATCAGAACTTTAGAAGTACCTATTGGCATGTTTCATCTCTTCAAAAGAAAAGAATAAGGATAAAGGGGGATTGCATTTTTTTAAAATATCTGCAATGGAAATAAGGATCAGATTTAACTTTTTCCAAAATGAAGTTGGTATTTGTATTGCCCAGTATCTGCTCATGGATTACAGCTAATAAATCCTAATCTGCACTAGGGTTTATGAATTATAAGTATTGGAGTGGAAACCTGTGATCTTCCAAATGTTTCTATGCAGATCCCAGCATTACTATCCGCTGGGCTGATGGAAACTGTGGCCTGCTACACCCAGCCATCTAGGTCTGTTGCCTCTGTTCCATCTACACTTGTCCTTTCCTCAATTATCTAAGCCTGAGTTGAGGTGTTAATTTCTTTTCCAGATTGTCACTGCCAATTCTAATTACACACAAAGGCAAGAACCATAGAGTGCCAATTTCACTGTGCCCCCACCCCCCAAGGTCACAGATTGCTAATTACACCCCAAGTAAAAAGCCGAATTATAGCCTTGCTCACTGAGCTTTTCCCCTCTTTACACAGAGACTTTTTATCTGTTTTCACCAAGTGTCAGCTAGATAAAGAATGATGCAAGCAGAGCTGATGGGGCATGCTTCTCACATTAGATAATCTGTCCTTCAGAAAATAGCCTATAACTGGAAAACTCTGGAATGACATTGTCATTTGAGGGCTTGTTCACTTCTTCTCCCCATGTACTGTAAATGTGGAGCATTACACTGAGGACTGCCAGTTCCGGTGGCTGGAATGAAATTCTGAAGGTTCTACAGACCTGGCAGGGAGAGAGAGTTATCAAGTAAATTACTCAGGTTTGCTGACTTCCAGTTGTTTAACTCTTTCTCCCCACAGCAAGATAAAAGCTTGTAATTTGAACAGTGACATGTCCCTAACTAGTAATGAAAAATGAAAACAACCCACCGGCTGTCAAAAGACAAACCCACAGTGCAATTCAATGGACAAAGAACACTGTTTAATCATTTCCTTTTTAAGTACAGTAGTCGCTGCCTGTAGATTGCAAAAACAAGGGGGAAGACGGATGCTCTACTATTGAACAGGTATTTCTTGCAAGCTTAACTCTCCTCTTCTTCAGGGAATCCTATGTGCGTCCCCCTGAGAAAGAACAGCTCCAAAGATGGTTTCTCCTCTTTGCTCCTTTCCAGAAAAAAAACAAAAAAACAAAAACCCTGCACCCAAGGACTGAATGACTGCAGAAAAAAATAGGAAGAACATTTGAATATTATTCTAAAAAGATACTTCAGAGCACTTGAGGACACAAATGCTGCACCTGTAACTTTTTAAAGCATCTGCATCATTTACACAGTATCCACAGAGCAGCTTGCACAATCTGTCACTTAAAGATTATTTATGTTTGTCCATTATTTTAAACCTTCCCAGCCTAACTGACAGGCATACCAACAAGAGTATTTTATCAATTAAAAAATTGTTTTTAAGGTAATCCCAATATCAGAAAACTATTTAAAAATATGCAAAAGATTGCTTTCAGTTAATTTTGTCTATTTTTCATTAAGACACTCAAAGCAATTTAAAATTCTAAAACAAACCACTGTTGGCATAGTTTGCCCATGGTTAAGATTTTCTGTATTTTAACAAGCAATTTTCTATTAGAAAGAAATATCTTAATATTCTACCTTCAACTACCAAAAGAAGAATTATTGTCAAATTTCCTATGCGCTGGTGGACTATTTATATATAGAATAGTAAGGTTGGAAGGGACCTTGGAGGTCTTCTAGTCCAGCCCCCTGCTTAAGCAGGAGAACCTATTGTCAGGGTTCCCCCCCCACTCCCAGTTTCCCACAGCAATAAATGTGGCAGGCCTGAAGGCCTAATGCAAAAGATGGGTTCCAGGCCGGACACCTATAGCAGTAGACTTATATACCGCTTCATAGGCCTTTCAGGCCTCTCTAAGCGGTTTACAGAGAGTCAGCATATTGCCCCCAACAATCTGGGTTTGCCCCCAA